GAAATCCAGGTATTTACAGTAGCTTTGCATACACTGCAGTTGGGTGTCTAGTAGGCTTAGATAGGGAGACTACAGGATGTGCAAACACCTGGTTCCTTCTAATAACAGTGCAGGTTGTATTCCTGCTCTGATATGCTTTCAGTATGCCTTTGTGTACCTACCAGTTGTGATTGACCCTTGAGGGCTGTCTCAGCCCTCAGAAACCTCATGCCTCTTTCCTTGCAGAAACCAGTGCCAGCTCTTAACAGAGAAGAAAACATAACAGTATTTCCTTGTTAGACAACCCATGGTGAATACAGATAGCAGACAGAAACATGTGATCTCTCGTTAAGATATAAGTGATTCAGATGGATATTATGCCCATAGTCTAAGTGATGCCAGTACAACATACACATCAGGGGAATAGCCACACGGGACCCGATCACACTGCCAGAGCTGCATGCCCTGGGGACTACAACAGAAGGCCAAGATCAAGTGGGTCCCTCACATGTCTCATCCACCCTTTCTTCCCAAGCTGGTGGAACAGAGGAGAATAAGAGCTGAGAGGGGCTTATAATGCTGCAGAGAGGACAAGGAAACTTACTGCCACAGCCTGGAATATTTTTCTGGCCTGTGTTCCCCCATACTGGGACTCCCACACAAAGCAGTATCATCTTGACGCTGCAAGCAAGTCACCAGCTACCACGGAGACATTTTGAACACAGCAGCACTTGTGGCTATGCTGGTCCCAGCCCTGGTGCCTGGGAAGAAAGGAGAGGCCCAGAAGACAGACCTACAGGGTCCCTGCTCCCCCTGTGGCCATGCCCAGCCCTGCCGCAGCGTGACCCTGCTGCGGGGCCAAGCTGCCCCTTGCCAGGCCTGCAAGGCGCAGGGTGGCGATGCCCGAAGCCCTGGCTCACACAGCCATTTCCCAGCCTGCTCAAGGAAGGGCCACGAGAGTTGGTGTTGTGCAAAAGGGTGCAGCCGGGGCATGTCTAAGCCATGTCACAAGTGTCAAGAGGGAAGTGAGTCACTCACCTGCAGGCCAGCGCCTTCTTTCCTGTCCCGGTTCTCCTCCTAGACACAGACACGCTGCCAGTGCAGCCCTGCTGGTGGCTCTGCTCACGGCAGGGACCCGTTGGGCTGGGGACTGCTGGGCCAGCGGGCCCTGAGGTAAGAGGATCGTCCCCTTTCTGCTTGCCTCCCTCCCCGAGCACTTGCTGTCCATGTCTAGGGACATGGTCTGGCTGCACAGCCCCCTGCCCCCAAGATCTCTGAGCAGTGGCATGTCAGAGCCAGCCTCACCCTTGCCGTCCCGGTGCCGGTGCCCTGGGGAGGGGTGTGTGTATTTGCGCCCGGAGCCCAGTGAGCAGGGATGAGAAGTGCTGCTGGCCATGGCATTGCCTTTGGGGCCCTGCCAGGAGGTCACCCCTGCAGTGTGGAGCTGTGGGGGCACAGGGACCCAGCTGTGGGCAGCTCAATCAGTTGCAGTTTTTCTGAGGTCTGTGTTTTAAGATGATCCCCACAACAAGATGAGGACCCAAACGCATTCTGTTTGGTCCATGGGAAGTGAGTTGAGAGAGAACCCCCGGTTTTGAGCCGCCTTGAGCTGTAGGATACAAATTCTTATGCCATGGCCGCCACGGCTTACATCCGTGCCCACTGGGGCAGGGCTGCACTGGGCTCCCTGTGCCAGAGCCAGACAGAGTCAGCCCTGCTCCCCCTTCCATTCACGGCTGATGTGGCAGCCTGGCTCCTGGCAGCAGCATGTCCTGCTAGACTGGGCTATCCCAGCAGTGTCACTGTAGGCAGCCGAAGCCCTGCCCTGCCTTTCTGCAGCTGTCAAATGGCTACTGGGAAGTAGCTGCTCACTGACCCCTGAGGATCTCAGCAGTCAAGGGAAAAGTATTTTGCAGCTGAGTAAACCAAGCTCCTGGGCACATTCCAGCACACTTGGTAATAAGGTGGGGATGTGTTGTGCCAGGCTCGAAAGTGCTCGCTAAGGAAAGCTACAGAGTTTATTTAGTATTTCTTTCCTGTAATGAGCAAAAGGGAATTGTGTTGTTGTTGTGAGATCAGTATTGGAAACTCACAGAAAATAATGTTTAGCATCCGCTCACCATCCACTTTGGTGAAAAATTAACTTCACATCTTTCCAAAGACCTGTCCTGGCACTAGAGAATTCGTCACAGTGATCAGGACTGGCAGGGATCGCATTCACCTGTGTGCTTATCCAGCATGCTGCACTGCACAGCTCTAATCCTGCGGGCAGTGGCTAGTGCTTTCAGAGGCTCGGTGCTGGTATTTTGTTGTTCTTGTTCACGGCTCTTGAACAGAGCAGTTCAAAATGCATGCAAAGCCTATCCACTAAAATGCTACTCTGTACACCACAGAGAGCTTTTCTCCACTAATAAAATGTGGGTTTACTCTTGGAAAGTGGCCTCCATATATTTGCTGATAATACTGTATCTCCTAAACCAAAGAGTTTCTGCTATCTGTATGATGGGTAGCAGAAACTCTTAGTACAAAAGGGAATGGCCTCAAGCTGCACCAGGGGAGATTCAGGTTGAAAACTGGGAGAAATTTATTCTCAGAAAGAGTAGTTAGGCATTGGAACGGATTGCCCAGGGAGGTGCTGGAGTTACATGGGAATAAGTTATAGTAAAAAATATATATATTTGTTTTTATTAGACTGTGTGTTTGGTTCATAAAAGTACAGGCACATTCAAGGTTTGCTTGTTGTTGTTTTTCTTGGGACTTAGTCTTGCATAGCATTCAGTGTTGTCAATTTGTGTGCTTCCCTAGGACTGGATGAGAGGTAAATTACACTGAGAACAGAGCAGTCAAAAACTGCCAGTACCACTCAGTAAGCTGGACCACTGAAACAAAGATACATTTTAATACTGGATTCAAAATCACATATGCAGAAACAGGCAATGCTGCGGCCCCAGAAAAGTGAGAAATTATTTCTGATAAGAACTCCCCAGCCCAAAACCTCTTGGGCTTTCATTTCCTCTAAGAACTTGGCTGCAGCAGGACAGCACACTTTGTTTTGCAGTTGCTATAGCCTTTGCTAATACTCCCCTTTCTGCAGTGACAAGACAGTCTCAATGCCTGCTCTGTCAAAAGTCATGGACTGGCTAACACCTAACGTTACTGAAATGTTCTTAGTTTGTTTTTAATTTAAGCTCCCAGGATCAGTTGTGTGGGCATAAATGGGGCTCTGGCCAGTACATGAAGGATCGGATTCCCTGGTCCATCTTTACATTACAGCAGCTGATGGAGAAGGGGGATGGAGGGAAGAAGCAGGTGATGGAGGGAAGGAGACTGCTGCAGCCTCCATTCCAGCACAGATCTATAGCATTGATGCAGGAGCCTGATCTCACCCTTCTGGTCACCCTGACACAGTCTGCCACAGACAGAACCCAGCTGCACGCTTCTCCCTGCTCCATGCTGGCAGCTCCAGGCAGGGCCCACCCTGCTCAGGCTGGACAGGGTCTCCCATGCTGGTGCAGTGCTTCCCCTGCCCTCGTGCCAGGGGAGTTTGGGTCCTGTTGGCTTCTGTGTTCCTTGGACATCCCATGCTGTTGTTGTGGGAGGTAAGGGTGATCCTGCAGCAGTTCAGGGCTCATGCAGCTAGTGCCAGCTGCCCGATGTTGCATTGCTACCTTGTGTTGCAAATGCCATCTCTGTGGTGCACCCGGTCCTAGGGGCAGAAATCACCCATGCAGGGACGGGGAGGGTGGCTCAGGGGTCCACTGGCCTCAGTGCCACCAGGTGAGGCTGTGGGGATTCAGGTAAGGGCCCCATATGGCAGCTGTTCTCAGATTCACCTGCGACTGAACATGAGAGGCTCTCGCTCTTCTTTTCAGAGCCTGTGCTGTCCCTGTGCATCCCAGGGTGTTTTGGAGCCTGGGCAGGCAGGGCTCAGGGCAACAGGAAATCCTGGTTGCCAGGCTCTGCTTGGTCTAGGGCACCACGCCGAGGCGCTCTGCTCTGTAATGGCCCTGGGAGAGGCTGTCTGCACCCCAGGAGCTGGTGCAGGAGAAGATCCAGGGAGGAACTGACCCTAGCAAAGAAGTCCAGATCAGCACTGGGGCTTTGTCTGCCCTCGGCCAGGGGATACCAAGGCACTGGCATGGCAGGGGGGTGGGTGCAGGCGTATCACCAGCTGCCCCAATGCTGCACAGCCCATCACCTCAGCATGCCCATGACCAGGAAGGTCAAAGTCAGCATCTCCACAGAACAGCATTGCTGCTGTGCACCGTGTGCCATCCGCCTATGTTCCCTTTCCCTGCTGATGAGGAGGGTGGTATGTCCTGATGTTGATCCAGGGCTGCCCAGCATGGGAGCTGCAGTTTAGAATTTGCTGGCACAGCCAAGACCATGTGTCCAGCTTTGTTTGTCACTAGTGTCCCCCTGAGCACCACAGTGATTTGCATTACTGTGATGAGCGGTCTTCAGGCTGCCCCAAATCTTGGTGGTCAGGATGTGAAGATGGATGATTCAGGTGAAGATCTGCTATGCTGTGGTTTCTCAGTGCCTGCTTGAAGGTCCCTGAGATAAAAGGAGGTTTGCAATGGCTGGATTCCTGGGTCTGTTATTCCCAACACAAATGTGAAGAAGACTCTGCTAGGGAATGAGTCTGCCTGTGAGATATATGAGCTTCTTGACACTTCTTTTCCTCAAAGTTTTTAAGTCAAAACTCTTCTGGCCTCTGCCATTCATCTGTTTGGAAAAATGATGTTCAAATGCTAATCCCAGGTCTGAACAGGGATAGAGAGTGGATTCCTATTCTGCCTTTAGAGGAAAACCCCAACTTTCACAATTATCAGAAGCAGAGATACTTTGAGGAAACAGCTTTAAGGACTTTCCAGATCTTCACTGTGGTTAATTGCCTTTCCTCTACAGTTTATTTTATTTCTCATTTCCTTTGAGCTGAGGTCACACGTTTCCTCTTCGTTAGTGACTCTGCAGTCATGCTGCAGTTGCTCTCATTGGTGTCCTGTTCTTGAGAGCTGCCTGCGTGGGCACCTTTCAGACCCTTGTCAAAGAATATAACAATTGGAAGAGGACCAAGCACCTTCAATAAGACTTGTATCACTTCTCTACTGAAGCTGAAAATGGACATATTGCACTGAATCCCTTTGCCTGTGGTAAGCACAAAATAGACTTTATTGGTACTGCTGAGAAATGCTTTTGCTGATGCCATAGCTTTTGTTAGTGTGGTCTTTGCACCTTGTAGCTGTAAATCCTTATTGGGAGAGCATGGCCCATTGGAGAGACTGGGACCAGCAAAGTATTCGTCCCTGCCACACTCTGCTGTGCCTCTGGTTACTTTCATCTCTAGTTCTGTGTACAGTGGAGTTGACATTATAAACTGCTTAGGATTATTGGTTGAGGTACTAGTGTACTAGGCAGTGGTTTGAGCTACAGATACCAAGGATTTTGGTAATGCAGTGCAGTCTGCTGCTGCAGAGAATGGGACCCACATCAGCCAGCCTACAACCCAACCACCACTCTTTTTTTCTCTTCTGCTGGCATAGAGAACATTTCATAGAACCATAGAGTCACAGAATGGTTTGGCTTGTAAGATACTTTAAAGATAATCTGGATCCACCCCCACTGCCATAGGCAGGGAACCTCCACTAGAATGGGTTGCCCAAACCCCGTCCGACCTTGCCTTGAACACTTCCAGGGATTGGGCATCCACAAATTCTCTGGGAAACCTGTTATAGTGCCTAACCATCCTCACTGTGAAGAATTTCATCCTTATATCTAATCTAAATCTGCTCTCTTTCAGTTTAAAGTTTATGTGTTTTATGCAAAGGGGAACCACTTCAACGGGAGAGAATGAGTGAGATTCCCTGTATGTTACTCCAGAATTTAGGGCTGAGGACATCTCATGAAAATGTGAACTCAAGTTCCTCAGGCTGCAGAGTAAAGTTGGCATTGAGTAAATTTAGAGGGGGAGGGTGCCATGCTCTCTTCTAGCTGTATGTTGTAGAATACCTGGCTTGACAAGCAAGAAAGGAAAAATAACTCAATTTTTCTCCTTCCCCTTTCTGAGCTTCTGTTGCTGACCCTGTTAGTACATGGTGCAGAATATGCCTTTAATCAGTTCCAGACAGATGCCCTGGCCATGTCCCCTCCCCACCACTTCCCCACCCTCAGCCTGCTGGCTGTGGGGGCTGGACACAGCCCTGATGCTGTGCCTGCAATAGGCAAAACACTGGTGCTGTATCAACACTGTCCTGGCTACGTGGGCTGCTGTGGGGAAAGAGAACTCCGTCCCAGGCAAACCCAGGACAAGTGGTCAGTCGGACTCTATGATCTTTGTAGGTCCCTTCCAACCGATCTGTTCTCTCTATTCTAATTCCTGAAGGACTGTGGCATTGACACTGCACGATCTACTACTGTCAAGACAGATGAGCTCTACCAAGTCTCGCCAGGGCTGTATAAGCATTGTCATCTCCAGTCACCCATCCTGCACCTTTGCCAGAGGTTTCCAGCAGACTTAACAATGTAGAGCATGTTCTTGCTTTCATTTCTACTGGTCAAAGTGTAGCCCCTGAGCTCAAACCTATCCTCAGGTGCACAGCTTTGCAGTGGACAGGGAAACGCAGGCTTGTGTCTGCTAAATCTGGCAGGTGATGGGCAGGCCTGGGAAGACCAGCAGTGAAGTCCACCAGAGCGCCTGTATGCAGCACCAGAAATGGCAGGGTAGAGGGACTTTCTTGCAGCAGGTACCTACTTTGGGTATATTCAGGTTTAGTGCTACAGTGATAGCACATCTCTCATTCCAAAGATTCCAGTCCCAAACACCAAAACTATTTGTTGCAGTTGGCAGTTACTTAGAACTGGGGGTTTAGGAGGCAGATTTGAAAGAACCACAAGGTCTCTAATGATCATAGGTAATTAGGACTTGATTTTCTTTCTTATTCTAACATCAGAATAGTGCATAAAACACAAAGGCCCCACCAGTCTTTCTTCATCCCTTCCCTTAAGCGTATGTATCTGCTAGGTGTGCCTCTGAGCTGAGAGATGCAAACCTTTCCGACTGGCTTATGTCTTTACCAAGGATGGTGCCTCAGTAAGTGGAAGAGCCGTGTCTAACAGACGTTTATTTAAGGCCATGTTGTGATTATCACCACTCTTCATCCACAAATGAAGGGGTGGAAATGGAGCCATAAGATGACTAGTATGATTTGCTTTGGGTCCTGCACGAATCAAAGTCAGAACAGGAAACAGCACAGGCCCCTGCCTGCTCTGGGACCTCTCCACAGGGCATCAGGAGCTGAGATGTTGTTCTCGTCAGGGAGGTGCCAGACCTCTGCAGCCAGACCCTGAGGGCATCCTCAACACCTGGCTACTGCCTCCTGGATCAGGTACTACCTTTTAGAGATCAGGCGGTTCTCACCAGAGATGAAGGTGAAAGAGTGCAGATGCATGTGACACCTGGCCAGCTACTAGTACTGCCACAGTTACTTGTTAACTCCCAGGCTTTGGAGTCTCTTCATACGGAAGATGGCTGAAGGACTGAGTTTAGACACTCAAACCCTGGTGCTGTCCATCAGCAAGCAGCAATGGGAAGGTCCAACAACAAGTTGTGGACATCTGTAGTTGTCATGTCCTTAGAGCAACTGTGAGGAGTAAGGAGGGACAGGCGTGGGAAGGTGACTACCACCTTCCTCTCCTAACAGCTGTGAAGAAGTACAAAGGCATTTTGAGTTTTCTGAGGAAAGAGAGTGTTCTTGATGTAGAGTTGACTTCCCTATTTGCAGAGGAGAATTGCAAATGTGTAAATGAGGAACCACTGGCACATGGGCACATAAGTGACTCAACTCAGAGAGGGTGACTTGCGGATGCATGTCTCTGCTGCTGGGGAAGATGCAGAAAGTTTTGAGGCAGGATGGTGCTTTCTGAGGAGGCAGTGGTCTTTGGGGTAAAATGCTTGCTGTCTATGGCACTGGCAGAACCAAGACAAGCACATTGCACTGTTCAGCACTTGGCATTACCACCACAACTTGCACAATAAATTTAGGCATCATGACTAGTGGTAAAGTGTACTCTTTCTCAAGGTAAATCACCATGTTCTACATTTTACAAACCCTTTGTTGACTCAAATTAGTTACAAACCCAGGAAGTGTGATGTGAATGAGCAACCTCGTACCCTTGCTGGTGGTTCTCAAACTGCTTTCCCTGCTCTAGTCAGTTATCTTCCCATGACTTTCAGAGGGAGCAAAAAACCAGCAGATCTGCAGATATGTCAAGAAGAGGTGACTACCTGTCCAGTGCCACACAGGTCATTGGTGCTAGAGCCAAGAACAGGAATGTACATCCTCTGGATAGTGAAAGAAGCAGGTTAAAGTATTTAAGGGATTAGACTGAATCCCACACAAATGTGGGACAAGAACACATACAGTATTGATGATGCAGTAATTTGATGTCAAAACCGTAGGTAAAATCTGAAGAAATACTAACTGAGGTGCAGACTACTAATATTAAAATCCTGGAAGTGTCTCATTAGAGACTGTGTTTGTCAGTAGCTTCAATGACAGAAGAAAGTACAGAATTGCTGTTGCTGACAATTGCATTCATTGCAGAAATGGTAGAAAGAAAAAAGAGAGAGAGAGAGAGAGAGAGATTGGTTTGATGACAACCTGAATTCAAAATGATTGTACATTAGACAACAACCAGGCTTTTAAGAAAGAGAGCTGTAGCTAAGAATCAAGAATGTACAACAAAACATCACCCTTTAGAACTAGCGACTCGTCTTTCACATCATTCACTCAGTAGAGCTCTGAGAGGTCTGGCAGCCTATGAAGTCAATGTTTGACCCTGCATTGACTGTAACTAAGAAAACAAAATCTTTGCGAGTATAATCAGAAAACACATAAAAGCCAACTCTGGAAACGCGGCACTAGTGAGATATTTTTACTAGACATTGTTCCAGTTCTGGAATTTCTAGGTTAAAATAAATATAGGCAAGTTAGGAAGCATTAAGAAAGAACCACAGGAAAAATAAGACAAATGGAAAACCTGTTTGCTTATAGTAAAAGATTTAGAAGCTCAGTCTACTTATCTGGGAGCAGAGTGATTTTATCTGTTGTAAGAACCTTAATACAGAAAACTCTTTTGAAATTAATGATCTGAGATCTGCAGTGCAGCAAAAAAAACAACACTGGATGAAGTCACAGAGGGTAGAATGGCATGGAAACAGGACAGAAGACAGGAGCAATTGGACAGGGCAGGTACCTGCAGCTTGAACCAGGGCATGGGGCAAAACTCCCGTGGTCAGCTGAAAATGAAAGGTGGACTTTGGCTTAGCAATGGCACTGTACCAATCAGGTCATTTTATGCTTTATATTTTTAGGTAAGAAGAAGAGGTAGAGCAGGAAATTCTGCATCAGACGTGTCCACTCAGCAGCACAATGTCTGGAGAGGGTAAAGGTGGTGCTGAAGGTAGTGCATCCCCAATAGACTCTCCGTTTCGCTATGACCTCTTCACTGTTTTCTACAGCATCATTTTCATTCTGGGTTTTGTCGCCAACTGCTATGTGCTCTGGATTTTCAGACGTATTTATCACACCAAGAAACTCAATGAAATCAAGATATTCATGCTGAACCTGACAATAGCTGACCTGCTCTTCCTGATTACAATGCCACTGTGGATTATTTACTATCACCACAATGGAAACTGGTTCATGCACAAGGTCCTCTGTAATGTAGCTGGCTGCTTATTTTTCGTTAACACCTATGCTTCTGTTGCCTTTCTGATGGCCATCACATACAACCGCTACCAAGCCGTGACTAATCCCATTAGAGCTGCTCAGTTTACCACTCGGAGAAGGGGTATCTTTTTATCAGCAGCTATCTGGATCGTAACAGTGGGCAGCTCTTTGTATTATTTTTTTGAAGATAATACTAATGTGGAGAAAATTGGCTTGAAGAATTACACGCGTTGCTTTGAGCGCTATGACTCTACTAGCAATGTTACACCTGTTCTTGCCATTCATGTCATCATCTGCATCGTCTTCTGTATCATTTTTTTATTTATCCTAGCCTGGAACATTGTCATTATCAGGACCCTCTTCTCCAAATCAGGGCAGCAGCGGAAGAGTGCTCATGTCAAGCAAAGGGCGCTCTGGATGGTTTGCACAGTGCTTGTGGTGTTCATCATAAGCTTTGTACCTCATCACATTGTGGACCTGCCCTGGACACTGACTGTTCTGGAGCAATGGCAGAAAGAGAACCGTAATTTGCGCCAGCAACTCAATGATGCTCACCAAGTGACTTTGTGCCTCTTGAGTACGAACTGTGTGTTGGACCCAGTCATCTACTGCTTCCTCACCAAGAAGTTCCAGAAGCATGTTTCAGAAAACCTGAAAAGCATGAAAGGGAGTCGAAAGTGCTCCAGGCAAACCACAGACACAGTGATTGAGGGCACCATTCACCAAGAGGATGCCATTAGGATTTAGGTCAGATGGGTTCTAATTGCTGAGACTGGGAAGTGTGAATCAGTCATTCATCTTTTCTCAAGAGAAGGTACTGAGGGACACAACAGAGGACCAGGATATTGTATCCCCTTTATCCCTTAGATAGAAGAATGAATGCTCAATTGTGAAAGGACAAGAGGCAACAGGCACAAACTGGAACACTGGAGGATCCTCCTGAACATCAGGAAGCACTTCTGTGCTGTGTGGGTGACTGAGCACTGGAAGAGCCTGCCCAGAAAGGTTGTGGAGTCTCCCTCCTCGGAGATGTTCAGAAGCTGCTGGGACTTGGTCCTGCGCACCCTGCTCTAGGTGTCCCTGCTTGAGCAGGGGGTTGGACCAGATAGACCCAGAGGTCGCTGCCAACCTCAATCATCCTGTGATTCCTTCTATCACATGCATCTAGCAGAATTGGAACCTGTAATAATCTGTAAGAAAAGCACTTTCTGTCTGGGTTGAGGGCACTGACAACAGCTCAAGCAATATGCCTGAAAGAAACACGAGTGCCTGCAGTGAGCAGCTGCCCAGGTAACACCATCCCTTGTTCTTTGCCCACCCAGCTCCCAAAAAGAATCCAGTGCCTGACCTGTATGAGGTTTCTGAAAGACCTGGAGGAACACACAGAGCTGCTATCATAATTGAGTAACTTTTCTGAGCAGCTTGCATGGTTCTGTAAAGAGTATGAGCCAAAGAAGCTCCTGAGTGGCTAGAAGGGACATAGTCCAAGGAGTTCCTCACAATACCATCAAAGAAGAGAGATGCACCTATACTTGCACAGTCCGTCGGGGTCCTTACTTCACAGATGCCTAGGAGCAGCTATTATGAACTTTTGTCTTTGCTCTCAGCTTTTGAATTAGACATGTAACTGAACAAAGGTGAGAAAAGGAAGAGAAATTGTCAGTGTCTCAGCCTCTATCCCAAATCAGCATTATGTCCAAGGGGGACTGTTGTCTGCCCTGGCTTCTTGTACGATTGCAGATTGGGCAAGTAAGTGCCCTCTTGCACAAAGTTTGGTATTTTTTGGCTGACTGCATGTGTTTGTGGAGATCCACTTTCACTTTGGAGGCTCCAGTTAACAGAAGACTGTTGTCAGCATGGTCATTACTGTGAGAAGAAAAAAGAATAAAAATACAGAAGAGTTTTAACCTTTATTTATTTAAACTTAGGATTCCAAAAAGCAGCTGTGCATAATTTCCTTCCCCCAGCCTTTTTATTTCTGTAGTGAAGAAATGAAGCTGACTGGTTCTTGATATCCTACCATGAATGAAGTATTAGTCCATTGGCCATAGTCCACGGCCATTTTCTGAGTGAACCAGTAAATGCACAGTGATGTGGTGTACCGTGTAAGTCATGCACTTAGGAAACACTTGAGACCAGCCAGCCACATTCAGGGCTTGCTGCAGTCAGTAGGGACTTAAGGCAAAATGGTTTTCCAGTGTTGCTGAGTTCTGTTACAAATCACGAGACAATTGAGGTTCCTGTTTCTGACCCAGATTGCTCAATCCAGCACAGGAAATTGGGCAGGGCAGGGCAGGGAAGGGAAGCTACTTGTTTTTTACAATCTTTTGGTTCCTCGAACTACATAGGAGACTGGCTGATGACAGGAAAAGTGCATCTGATGTTGTGATACTGTTTTATTTATATAATAAATATAAATTTAACACTCTTTAACTCTCACTTAACAGCTGAGCTTGGTAACTCTTAGAAGAAATGGGAAGGCCTTATTCTATGTGGTGATATGGTCTTCTATTGATTCCTGGAAAGCTTACAGCAGAGCTTACAGTGTAGGTTACTTACTGTTTTTAAATATGCTTTGCTCCACAGAAAGCAATCGTAAGGCAAGTGTGACCTCAGAGAACAAATATAAACTTGCTTCCGAGGAAAGGGGAAAATGGAGAAAGAACTCTGAGGACACTTCAGAAAGATATGTTGCAATCATTAAGTCAGTAAAAATGCATTTTAAAAAACAGTCTGAGCTTCTACTTTTGTTCCTGAAATTACTTCGTTTTATAGCAGTGATGCATTATAGTGCTTTAATTTGCAATAAAATTGATCCTCAAAAATTATTCTAAATAAAATACTTCTTCCAAGGGTTTTGGACTTTAAGATCCTGTCTTGTCATCTTTCTGTATTTACCCTTATGGGAAAAGCCTCAGTATCCGTAGACAACGCTGGTTTGACAGCCTATTTGTGTTCCTTTCGATTTTGGTGGTATATTTTTTTGTCCTTCTAATCACCACGTGAACTCTTGAGAAAGGTGAAAATTAAAACCTCAGCAAGTTCTGACCTGCTAAAAGGGAAGGGAAAAATAATTTCACAGGGGAAGCAACTTCTGAAAAAAGGTCTGTGCTCTCAAAAACCCTACCAGACAAAAAAAAAAAAAAAAAAAAACAAAACAAAAAAAACCAACGACAAACACCACACTCTCTCTCTGGCTGCTCTGACGCTCAGGCTAAGAAGTGACGCGCTGTTTGCGCTATTTTACAAATAACACCCATAGCAGTGAAACTCCGAACGAGAAGCACGGCACAACAGCGGGGGGCTCCGGGCTGCCGACCCCCGCCCGCGCGACCTCGGGGACCCTCCCGGGACGCGGCACCGAGCGGCGGGGCCCCGGGGCTCCTCTGGGCACGGCCACGGCCGCCCGAAGCAGCCCCCAGCGCCGAGCCCGGCCCCGGGCCAGCCCCGCCCCGCGCTCAGGCGCCTCGGGGCTGCGGCGCCACTTCCGTGGCCCAGCGCGCTCTGGTTCCGGGTCGGGCCGCCGCTGGCGGGGGCGAGGCGCTGCGGGGCCGCCGCTGCCATGTCGGATGCGGGACGCGCTCCCGGGCCCGGCTGCGGAGCCGCCTCTCGGTAAGAGCCCGCCGAGCGGGGGCCTGGCCGCGCGCCGCTCTCCGTCTCCTGCGGGGCCCCGGCGCCGTGCCGGCCCCTGCGGGCCGCGGCTCGGGGACGCCTGGGGGCGGCGCGTCCCAACCCCCCCCCCCCCCCCCCCGGCGTAACGGAGGCCGCTGGCGGAGCGCGGCCGGGGCGGAGCACGGCACTCAGCGCCCGGCCGCCGCCGCCCCCGCCCCCCGCAGCACGGCGGGGCCCGGAAGCAGCCGAGAGCTGCGGGGCTGCGGGAAGCCGCCCGGGGACTGCCGCCGCTTCGGGGGGAGGGGGGCGGCTTCCGTGGGGTCGGCGGGGAGAGGGAGCTGGCTGCGGGCAGCTCGGGACGCGCCCGGGAGTCGGCGGGATGTTCGCAGGGCCACGAGGGGTGCGTAGCGCCGCCTCAGGGCAGCCTCGCGCAGGCTGCGGTGGCTTTGCGAGGAGGCAGTGAATGGAGCGCTTCAGTTGGAAGGGACCTGCAAAGAGCATCCGGTGCAACTGCCTGACCTCGTCGGGGTTAGCCAAAAATTAAAGCATATTATTGTGTGCGTTGTCCAAATGTTTCCAGAACATTGCCAGGCATGGGGCACCAACCACCTCACTAGGAAGACCATTCCAGTGTTTGACCGCCCTCACGGTAAAGAAATTTTTCCTCATGCCCAGTCTGAACATCTCCCAGTGCAGCTCTGTGCCATTCCCATGCATCCTGTGATCAGATCCCAGGGAGAAGAGACCGGCATCTCCCCCTGTGCTCCCCCTTCCCAGGGAGTTGCAGAGAGCAAGGAGGTCACCTCTTGGCCTCTTTTTCTCCAGACTACACAACCCACATGTCCTCAGCCTCTCCTCATAGGGCATGCCTTCCAGCTCTTGCACCCTCCTCTGGATGCATTTGAATATCTTAACATCCATAAATGTATCTGTACATTTTAGTCTGAATGCATTTAACTGTTGTTTGCGCTGGAGCTTGTGCAGTTATTTCCAAGACGATGTGTTTGAGCTTGGTAGTACCATGACCAGTTGGGCTTTATAGCTGTGTTGGACCCAGATCAGCTCTGCTGGACATTCCTGGTTTTGGGAATGCTCTGCAGAGTTGCTGAAGCTTTGTGTGCCAGGTCGGCATGTATGGAGCACAGCATGTCTTATCGGTTTGGTCTCTGCAGTGCATGGTGTGGCTAAATTGTTTCCAGACTAGAGCTAGTCCTTAATGCAGCATAACTGTAGTAATCAGATAAATCATCAAACAGATTATGTTGTGGTGGACCTCTCTTTCCATATGGAGCTACCTCTACTTCTGCACCTATTATGCACTTAATCCATGGTCTGGTAATTTCTGATTAGCAATTAAGTCAACTGTATTAGCTGGTAGGAGAATTTTACAATTGTCACCTGCCTCTGTCATTTGTTTTTCCTCACTTCTGCTTCTTCCTGATTATCTTAAATTCAAGATACCAAATAAGATAGGCTTTTGTTTAGAATCATGACAATTCACATACCTCAAGTCACTGTTTTTGTAATTAGCTAGTTTTAAAAATGCATAAAGACTGTAGTTTTCTTAATCTACAAAACTAATGACTTAAAATGTAGCTCAAAATGTATAATGTACTCAAAATGTAGCTATCAAATTAGCTTTTTTAAAAAAATCACCCCATGGTATATTACTTCTTAGTTGTGCAGTTCCACAATCCAGTTTTTACCACACAACCAACATTACGCAGCTACATTCCCACTTCTAACCATTTACAAGGTGGCTGTGGTTAAGGTCTAGCAGTTCACAAACCATTAGAACTACTGTGCAGTGTCCTTTTGTGGCTTTAACCTCTATCTCAGCTCTTCCATGCAACAGCAGCAGCAGTTATGGCCCGTCGGTTGCTGTGTGTTGTTTGTGTGACAGATGGGATTGCAGAACTGTCACTTCCCCATCACAGATGTGTGTGACTTGTGGTAATTCCTGAGTAATTGCTGACTTCTGAAGGATTTATAGCTTCTTGAAACTTTGCCCTATAAAGACTGAGATGTTGAATGAGTTTATGTCATATAGTTTAGTAAAAGGGTTTCCACGTTTTGTGTTAGCAGGTTGGAGTACCTGTACAGCAAGTGAAGCATGCTGTGTCCTGGCTTTTGTGTACTGAAGGTTATAGATGGTTGCACGTAAAACTGGATAAAACATACAAAAACATTTTTTGTATGTGAATGAAAAACCTGACAAGTAGTGCATTCTCATGCATAAGTCACGTAATACATAAAGCTTCAAGATTTACAGCAGATCTTATCTGAGGGTGGACATGAATAACTCAGTGCCTGTATTCTTACTTGTCAGAAATAGGAATATTTTTAATTTCCTCTCTGCAAGTGAAAAAGGAGCTGTTAGGATGAAGATGTACACATAACTTCTGAGTGCTGAAATGGAATCACGTGAGAATTTAACAACAGGAGGTTTCTGTATGATCTCCTACCCAGCAATGTCTACAAGCACAATCCAACTCCAGGCAATGTTGTCTCTTGTAGCATCTTGTGAGTGTTTTCTTTGGTCACCCAAACCATGACCAGTGGCACGCGCTGGTTAGTTGTAAGTTGAGGGAGGCATTTTTCAGTTTTTCCTTCCTTTGTCTTATCCTTCTTTTATTCTCTCTCTCTCTTTTTTTTTTTTTTTTTTTTTTTTTTGTCATCCTAATTTGTCCGGAAGTTTTTCCTTTAATTTGTTAACGGGAAGCAAAACAAGCAGCTCTTCAGCAGTATTCTCTCTGGTGGCCCTTCTCTAGCAGTGATTAAGTCAGCTCATGTGGGTGCTGTGACTGAAGGTACTCCAGCACCTGAGGCAGGAACTTCAAATCTTTTCTTCCTTCCTGCAGCCACATCTAGAGCTTAAGTTAAGGTGTTGCTGCAAGGGGTCAGCTTCCCTCCTATTCTAATGCATTACACAAACCTGGTGTTTAGAATAGTGTTGAGGTGAGAAAACACAGCATGTCAATGTAGGCTCTTCAGTGTATGGTGTCCTTTTGATCTACACGACACCAGTCACTGCTGTGCTGTCTTTCCCAGGATGTCAGCAGACAGTTCTTAACTGGGTTATATAACTGAAAAAACAGATTTGTATTTAGAAAAAAAAGCCTACTATTGTGATGAATCTGATTGGGATTTTTCTTCATCTCTTAGATAAACTACTGGGATTAAGAATATGGCTTGTCTAATGTCAGGGGCAATTGAATGGTTCTTCAGTTCTGCAGAAGATGGGTTTCTCCTCTTGAGAGATCTCCATGTCTAGCGATCTGTTCTCATCCCAAGAGCTTCCTTTGAGACTTGAAGTTTGTGTTGCTTCGATTTAAATACTGATAGATCTGTTTCTATGAAAGTCATCAACTGGAACGTAACATAAGGTGTATGGCAGCTTTAAACCTTGGGTGATGGTTTATTTTTCTATAAATATCGTACTATGATGTGTAATTCCATGTTGAAAATTTTACAAAATTTTCATACTAACATCTTTTCCATGATGTTTGTTTTGCGCTATTATATTTGACAGAGTTTAACAAATTCTTCCTTAGTTATGATTGATTTAAGATGAGCAGGGAAGACGAATGCATATTCAGTATTTAGTACCTGTATCATTTGAAAAAGCAGATGACTAATCACTCTTCAGAGAAGAGAGGTGACAGCTCTTTTCAAAAGTCTTTTTAAAAGAGGGAAGGTTTAGATCAGACATGAAGTAGAAATTCTTTACTGTGAGAGTGGTGAGGCCCAGGCTGCCCAGAGGAGCTGTGGGTGCCCCATCCCTGGCAGTGCCCAAGGCCAGGCTGGATGGGGCTGGGGACACCTGGGCTGGAGGGAGGGGTCCCTGCCATGGCAGGGGGTTGGAGTTAGATGGTCTTTAAGGTCCCTTCCAACCCAAAGCATTCTGTGATGATTCTATGAAAACCACGTGGAAGTATTCTGAAGTAGGCTTTATCATGGGTTGGCTGAAAAAAAAATCTCCACTCTTCTTTCCTGGTAAAGGCATAGCTGTTCTCTTTTACCTATGGAGGGAAGTAACATCAAAGGAAAACAACTCTGTGGATTCCAGGTTTTGAAATTTTGTATAGAAGTCTGGTCCCATTTGCACTGTGTTTGCCTTTCTAAAAGATAAAGGGACTCAAAGATAATACAAACTACTTCTTTGTTACTTTGTTTGGTATTCTGGAGAACTGTATGGGCACAAAGGTTTTATTCTTCTTTTTCTACTGTATCAATTTTTTTTCTATCCAGTAGTTATCTGTCATGCCAGGCCTGCTGCTAGGTTGACATTCTGTGTATGAGGAAAAAAATAATTCTTCTGGCTTAAAAAAAACACATTATAAAGCACTTACTCTTGCCTGACCTGAAGGAAGCCAAAATGTCACCATAAGTCAATGATATCACTTCTCTCAGCATTTTAAAATTAGATGGCAAATATTGCTTGACAGTTACTTGAATTATTAAACTGTATTGTAGCATTTGAGGACCTAAACAATTTACCTTTATGCTGAAGTAAAAAACAGCAACAAGTTGTTGGCTGAGCTTCTCTAGTCTCTGAACGATGTGAACTTTTTTGTGGATGCTATTGTAAGGAACATATGATTGTCTTTACGGAAGGCATTAGTTTTTAAAGGCTGACACTGTCGTAATCCAGGACAGTGATAGTGATCAGGAATCACTATGATGACTAATGAGATCAGAGAAGTTGCAAATGTGTTTGTCATGCAGCTTTTTTTTTTGCAATGGTGAGAGTAAAAAGCGCACCATTTGAAGGCAGCATTTTTGGCAGACTGATGGCTTAGGCTCGACTCAAAGAAGACGGCACTTAGGGAGTATCTTGATGAGAACAGCTTTTGGAACTAAAAGGCAGTAGAAAATACTGTGGACTTTATTTCTCAAAGGTTACCAGTTTCATGTGGTGACCAAGAAGATAATTCCTTGTTGAGATGCAGTAAGAAAAGCCCTGAAATAAAATATTCACCGTTCTCATTTTCCTTCTA